CTCCAAAATAAATGAAAGTTTGCATGGAGGAAAACATTTGAACTGCAGTGTTTAACGATTGAAATTGAATGTTTTCTTCTATCATGAGAACCGTCGTAGCGAAGGGCGGAAGTGGTGTTTTATCGCCGTCCGTTGATGATAATTCTCGTACAATTCCATTCGTATATTGTACGACCGTTATTCATGTGATTTATCGTTTTATGATACAGGGTGGCCGTCGAAAAATAATGAATATTTTTTTCCATGGCTTTCATTGAACCCTTCACCCAGTGCCGGTTTAACAGGGGTTTTTGGGTGCCATAGCACCGGGCGGTGCATTTTTTTCTCCATAATGGTGTCAAATGCAAGTGGTGAACGCTCTTTCTCTACTTTAAAAGGGTCAAAACTTACCTAAGAAATTCAATTGCCCAAGAAAGATTGAATTCCTTGGCAATTTTATTCATTAACCAAGACCTGCTCCTGCTAAATAGATGTTTATAGTGTTATTCAGCAGTTTGCTTCAATCAGAGATCTTCAATGAAAGCTAGAAAACAACCTTTTTGTTATTAGACCTTATGTTCCTAATTTTTATTTTCAGTTATTAATGATTGTGATTACTAATTGGTGTTTCTTATTATTTTAAACCAAAGAATAATGTTTTATTTTTTAGTTAGTGTTCCTATTTAGTTTTTCTTCGTACCTGTTGTTTATTCAAACCAAATAATACTGTTTCACTTTTTATTTGGTGATTTTGATTAGTTTTTAATAATATTTCTCATTTAAATCAAAGAATAAAGATTTTTTTGTTATGTTTATAATTTTTCGTTTTTTATTTTATATAGGTATGTACCAATACTAAGTTTCTTACTCATGACTCACGACGTGAGCAAGTTTGTAAAAATATCAATATAAAATACCGTTTATAGGCCCAAAAAAAAAGTTCAAGGCACCAAAAAATTTTTTCTGCCTACGACAGTTTGCATCCGACGGTGCCTGCGGCAGGCTCTTTTTTGGGGTGTTGTGTCTGTAGCAGCACCGGGCGGCGAACTACCTTAAACCGACACTGCCTTCACCCTCTTCCCTCCTGCAACACAGCTATCTATAATCTATAAAAATATAACATAAACTTTGCATCAATACCGACGACTGTAAAATAATATACTTTACTATGAATAATAATGTGCCCACTCGACCCTCTACGTAGGCTAGGGCATAGCCCCTATGGACACCAAGGTGGTGGGCACCTTCAGGGATGCTCGCTCCCGGCCAACCCCACAATATCAACAGTGCGTCGTGCTGAATTAACAATTTACTATTAATATAATTAACAAGTACTCATAAATCTAAACTACCCTACGACCCTCCGTTCGACTGCTTCTCATTATCACCCCGCGCTCGTTAATGTACTCATCTACAAAAGTAAAACTGTTTTTGCTCTTAAATTTGAACTAAAATCAACTTACCCATGGTTCTGCTCACAAGCTATACAACAACAAATTGTGTGGTTTCCAGCCTTGATAGCTGTGTCGCAAACTTTTATCACATTTCCTATTACAAAGCCATACTTATAGATATCAGTATTTTACAATTCTCGATTGTTAGCCTGTATGATGTTGACTATTGTGGAAAATTACGCCCCTTTTTTACGATACATTTTCCTCGCTCCTGGCAGATCTGCTTTTCTTTTTCCTCGGGGCTTCGCTGGTATACAGTGCTACCCCCCCCCCCCTTGTCGGTACCTGTTAAACTAGTCTGACTGCTACCAAGTCCTATTTATAGCCGGCTGAATACCTCTGAAGACCTCTGAATACCTCTGAATACCTCTGAAGACATCTGAAGACATCTGAAGACATCTGAAGACATCTGAAGGCGTGATCTGAAGACCTCTGAAGACATCTGAAGACATCTGAAGACATCTGAAGACATCTGAAGGCGTGATCTGAAGACCTCCGAATACCTCTGAATACTTCTATAGGTGTGATCTGAAGCGATCTGAAACGCTTTGAAGCCGTCTGAAACGTTTGAAGCTGTCATCATCGGCCGTCATAGTTATACAAGATAATAAATATTACTATAGGGTAATTTCGAGAACGACAACTGTTTTCTTTGTAACTATAATAAATACAGATATCCTTATTGAGTTTCAATACCCCATCCTACAAAGAATCTTGAATCTTGTATGGAAAATTGCCGTTTTCAGCATAGCACAACGCTGGGTGATTTCTGTAGTACGGCCAATGCTTAGTCGTTGAAATTATATCACAGAACACTGTGTTGGTACTCTAGGTAATGATTTTTTCACAACAGATGGCAGCACCTATAGTACGGCCGTTGAAATTATGCCACAGAACGCGAACACTGTGTTGGTACTGTGGGTGATAGATATTTCACAACAGATAGCAGCACTATAGTACGGCCAATGGTTAGTTCTGTGTCATAGAACGCGCACGTCATGTTGGTACTGTAGGTAATGATTGTTTCACAACAGATGGCTGCATCGTAGCTTATAGCCAAACAGATACGTCTACATTTTGTGCGATCCTTTCTTTAATGGAGGGTTTGAATTTCGCGCCAACGACATAAATCGAGGATCCATATGATAACGCCAGCATTCTCATATTTAAACGAACCATTACACGAACATCGTTTGAATTTCCCGCCAAATCGCGAGGGCTCGGGACTTATTTCAAATAGAGGCTCCTGATTGGTCGACAGGCAGGCGGTGAGAGGTGGAGGGGGGAGAGAGAAAAAAGTGGAGGGGGTGGCCCATACCGTCCCCCTTCCTACTACCATCCTGGTGATGAATGGTAACTGCAGCTTGCCCAACTTGCGTTATCAAAACTACAGAATATCCAAAATACTCAAATTGGAATGTAATAATGTTGACATAGGGGGAAGAAGATTGAGCTATTTCCTCAAGTGATCGATAAAATGGGCCAAATTCTCTGAAAGGGGGACGAATGTCGATTTGGGCTCACGTTGAATCGGATTTCGGTTTAAATAACGGTCTTCGGACTAGGCACTGCTGGATGAGGGTCTATAGCCCGAAACCTGTCCATAGGTGTGAAGGGTTTCCTGGCTAAATTTTGAGAACAATCGGGCATTTGCTATCAGTAGATGTTCGTTCATACGAATGATTGCATATACAGGGTGGCATTGAAATAGGTGCAAATATTTCAAATCCTGAGAAAGCACCACTAAAAAACGTATAGGGATCATCGGGATTAGACCCTTTTTTCCACCAAAAGTTCTGCACTGTAGCAAGTCTGACGTCACCTCTGTTCAAATTTCCACGCGTAAGGCACACTGATGCGTAGTCTGAAAAGTTATCTCTGGTTCAATCATGTATTGTTCTTAAGTGACGTGCTTTATTTTTCTCAACTCTCTGTTCAATTAAGTATCGGGATTGAATCTCTCATTGATAAGGAGAATTGGAAGAAATCTGATATCATGGAGATATTTGTTAGACTGTATCATATTGATGTGCTGAATATATGTACTTATGTCAAAAACACCTAGTACCTGAAAAGGATGAAATTAATGTTCTTCGTTCTGCCATGAAAGTAGTCATTCTTTTTCTGGCTTCTACAATAACTGTTGTTCATTTTGATGAACATTCGTGGAAACGACTTGGTTTTTCCTCACTATCAATAAGGAAATTGGTTATTCGCAGACTGAAGCCACTAATAAAAATAACAGTGAAAATTTCAATAATCTTATTATTAACAAATCAGTATGTTACAACAACAAATATACATTTGGACAATACATAATATTATATACAATAAATTGTACTAGATGTCAATGGATCAATCGATATCGACCTCAGTTGTTATTCCATCGAATATTAGGCTCATGTTAGTTCGGGTGTAATTTGGAAGATGACATTCGTCAAACATGAAGGGGCTTTGCTATTCTAAGCGTAACGACTTATTTCGACAAGTTCTGGTTCAAATGATGCATGATTGTTCGTCCGCCATATTGGATGCGCATTCTAATCATATGATATGAAGATTATTTTATTAGGCACTTTCGAAAATATAAATAACAATTGATCCGTTGACAGCAGTTACAACAACTCTTTTCTACCTGCAGGAACAGCAACTAGGAGAAGGATGTGTAGGTATGTGGAGAGCACTAGTTGGCAAAAAGTGCCCATGTGGGCCTATTTGCCTAGCAGTAGCATCCCCACGATACTACCCTCAGGATACTTCCATGCAATAAAAAATGTGAAAAGTATAGGTGATATTGGAAATGTGTTCTCACATTACAGATCATTCATCTCGAAAATACGGTACAGTGTGTTTTCGGAAAGTGATTTTGATTTATCAAATTTTATATCAGTAGTTTGATTGATGAAACATTGAATTGGCTGTTGTATGACCAGAATCTTTTTGGCATGAAGTATATCTGGAAAAGATGTAGGTATCGTTGCATGCAGGCATATTCTACTCTCCTAGAAATGAGGAAGAAATTACATGAACCTTGCTCATTTTATTCTCATGATGGTTGGTTTTTCGCAGCAATTGAATTTGAAGATGAGATATTTCAACATGTGGTAGGTAGGGACTGCAGTTTGAAGATTGAATTATGTCGTATTGCCGAATTTTCTTCATCAGAAATAAGAACGAATTTCGAAATAAAAGTAGTGGGAACAAAGTTATACAGGGTGATTCAGGTTTTGAGAAATAAACTGAAATGGGTAATAGATCTCATCATTTTAATAGGAAAGTGTATGAATATATGTCCGATCTCGATCAGTAGTGAACATACAGGGGGTCAAAGTTCTTTTTTTGTTTAATTGAAATATCTCGCTCACTTCTGAAGATATTGATTTGAATTTTGGTGAGATCGATACTTTGTAGAAGATCATCATATAAAGTATTTCAAAGATTTGGAAAATACACAGGGTGATACGTTTTCGAGGGTAGAGACTTTTTCATTCCTCCCGAACTTTTTTGTAGTACACCTTTGACATCTTCCAATTATCGAATAGGGTGGCTCGTTCAATTCAAAGACTTTTGCATTTCAATTTTTTGCGAGAAACGCACCGTTTTCGAGATAAATATGAATATCTCTGCAATAACATGTTAATGTTGCCTATTATAATTCGCTTAATGCAATCAAATGCTTTCAACCGACAAATTCAACGACAACGCGAAAAAAATTTTGTCAACCCACTTGACTGGTTAAGTGTCATCCAGTTGTATCCATATTCCTCTTCCAATATCTTTCTCGATATCATTTGAAAAAATTAAATTATAAAATTGCATTCAACTTGTCGTGAAGAATATTCTTGCGTGTGATCATTTTTTTGCGTATTGCGTTAACTAATTTCCTCCAACAATGAAATTTTAAAATATAGATGGAATCAACATGTTTCAGAACTGATATACTTATTCATCACGAAAACGGTTCGTTTCTCGGGAAAAATTGATGAGCAAAAAAAGCCTCTAAATTGTACGATCCACTTTATTTGGTCACTGGAAAACAGATAAAAAAGCCTATACCTCCAGAAACGTATCACCCTATACATTGGAAAAATCTCTCGATCGCTTGGAATGATGAGTTTCTATGAAGTATTAATCACACCCAATTCTATGAAGTATTAATCACACCCAATTTCAAATCGATTACTTCAAAAGTGAGCGAGATATTTTAATTAATTGAAAAAAAAATAATCAAACTTTGAACCGTTGTAGATCCGCTACTGATCGAGATCGGATTCATGTTAATGGAAATTTTTCTAATTGAAATGATGATATACATCACTCATTCCAGTTTGTACCTTAAAACCTTAATCACCCTGTATACCATCTGAAATATCATCGTATTTAAACTGATTGTTTGCCGAATTGTTACATATAGTGTCAGAATCAAAACTGAAATTAATTATGCGCCCAATGGTGAGCGTTGTGCTCTTCGTGGCTGTGATACTCCTATATGTGACGATTCGATAAATATTCTGTTTAGTCATATGAGATTATGTTCCTGCTTCAACTTCAATCAACTACCTACCCTCCAAACCTCAAAAAGGCATTCTGCATTTCTAGGAGTGAGCTTGAAGTACACAGCATAACAGTTCAAAAGTAATAACGATTCAATATATTCAAGACCGATTTTCATGGATGATTTCAACTTTGTTGGTGCTGACTTTGTCTGAGAGGAACGTATATTATTTTCTGGCCTTCGTCTGCAGGACTATCGTCATACACATACTGGTCCGATTCAGTAGCTTGCTCGCTGTAATCTGGACTAGAATCGTATTGGTAGTCCAGCTGTTGCTGCTGTTGTTGTTGAGCAGTGTGTAGTGGCTGTTGTGGCTGTTGTTGAAGTAAATCTGAATCAGTCTGCTTCAGCGTTGGCTTGACTTCGTAATTCGATTCAAGAGTTTTTCTTATCTGACCTGAAATTGAAGTAGACACATTTTACTATATATATTCAAATTCCTCTTCATCAAACATTTTTCAAAACATGATATCCCTGACTATCAATTGAATTCTTCTTCCAGGCTCTGAAATTAAACGTTTCAAATGCGGTAACAATCTCTGATTTGTCCTTATTACACATACAAGGTGTAGGTCGTTCGTGTGTCCGGAGTTAGTTTGTTTCTGATATACAGACGTTGAGTTTCCTTCAAAAAAATCAATATTATTAGGAGACTATCTTTCGCGAAATAGCCTCGCGACGCTGTTCTCGGAAGGCTCAGCATCGCCCTTGGATATTGACGTGGAAGATGAAAGAATTGTGCAGGAAGATCTCACCAGGTTGTGAAAACACTAGCAAACATATCTGGCTTCGTTATCGAGGAAAAAAATTGAGCCACCCTATCGCATGGAAAAAAATATGGTCTTATTTATATTAAAAAAACATCTCGCCCATACATCTCAAACTTCAGATAACTGTACCAAATTCCAAACAAAACGGATATTGATGATATTTTATGAATGCCGTCTTCTTCAAACCTCAGAATCGAACGAACTTCAGATATATATTCATGGAACTTTCTTTCTCAAATCGCCCTAACGAATCACCTTCTGAAGATTCGTCTTGCAGTTAGAAAACACCCTGTATGTAACGTATGTATGTAAACAAGAGGAAAAAATCACAAAATATCTGGAGAAAAGAGTCAATGAATATCTTCGACTTGTACCACTAACCCAGAAACGAAGCGGTTTATATCATGTACAATGTACATCTCATAATACTGGGTTCGTCAATAAAACGGGACAACTCGGAGAGACGCTTGCATCGCGCTACAAAGTAGTGTGGATGAAAGTCACTATAGCCTGTCGGGAATCGTTGAGCTGGTGAGCAATAACGCGGCTACGCGGTTGAAGCTTACTATCAAAATGTGGTGTCAAAACAGTTCGAACCCCTGAAACTATCGAACGTGTTCGACAAGGAATATAAAGAGGTCTTCGCCGATCCCAGGGCGTATAGTGCCTCAAAATAAATATATTAGTTGGTCCCCTCGGTCTACCGACCTAACTGTCTGCGATTTATTTTTGTGAGGATACCTTAAAACGAAAGTGGATCAGTTTCACACACCTTCGTTTTTAGGTATCCTCACAAATATGAACCGTAGGAAGTGAGGTTAGGAGACGGAGGGGGCCAACTGTTATTCCTGTTTAGAGAAACGATACGCCCTGGGATCGGCGAGGACTTCTTGATATCGCTTGTCGAACACGTTCGATATTTTCAGGGGTTTGAACCTTTTTGACACTGTATTCTGATAGTAGGCTCCAACTGCGTAGCTGCGTTGCTCACCTGTCCCATGATTCATTGTGAAAAAATGGTAAGCCATGCGAGTACCGACAGGCCAGAGACTTTCATCCGCACCACTTTGTAGCACGCTGCAAACGCCACCCCAAATCGTCCCAATCCATTGGCGAACCTTGTATGTTGAAATTAGGTCTTCTCGAAATTGGTACTGCCAGTGAAAAGTGTAGCACACCCAAGCGAAAGAAATGTTTGAACATACCTTCAGGAGTTTTGAATATAATCCTGGTATGCTGTGGCGACGGATAATTCTCATGAGTCAGCAATTCCTTGTCAGCAGTGCCAGAGTTTCCTGGGAGATATTTATTACTTGGTTGGTACTGAGATTCTTCATGCACAACATTAGATTTCACAACATCATAGGATAAATCTTGCGATGGTTCTTCTTGCAGTGGTAAATTCTTTCTAGGCTCTATCTCGAATCGCTGAGGATTCTGATATTCTTCTTGGTTATTTTGTTGCGGAATGCGATGGTATATGGGTTGATATGTTTTCTGTGGCTGAGATTGATAGCTTGACTGAAGTTGGTAACTTGGCTGAGGTTGGTAGCTAGTCTGAGATTGATAGCTTGTCTGAGGTTGGTAGCTCGACTGAGTTTGGTAACTGGCCTGAGGTTGGTAAGTTGGAGGGCTTTGGTAACTCGCTTGAGGTTGGTAACTTTGTTGAGGCTGGTAACTTTGTTGGGGTTGGTGACTTTGTTGAGGTTGGTAGCTTGGTTGAGGTTGGTAACTTTGTTGAGGTTCATAAATTGGTTTCAGTTCACGATTTGGTTTCAGTTCATCACTTAGCTTTAGTTCATGACTTGGCTTTGGTTGTATATTTGGCTGTGACTGATAACTCTGATGAGGTTGGTAACTTTGCTGTTGGCTTATATACTTGCTCAATAATGATCGAACATCAATGGAGTTGATTAAGGGTGCGAAGTTTTCTGTAAGAGGTAAATTTGGATATAGAGGATAGGTAGGAGTAGCTAGTTGGGAAGGAAGAATTCTCAATATTATTACAGGAATTGGAGCTTGTCCATGGTGGCCCACAGAATTGGGTACTTGTTGAGAAAGAGCACTCAATTGTCCGTTTTGGTTGATAGTTGAGAATAGTGTAGTTCCAGGTTGGTATGAACTAGCCGATTCTGGAAAAAAAATGATAAGGTAATTAATAAACATTGGATCAAATGTTTTTGTGATATGAAATTCGTGATTTCTTCAACAAATGGATAGCCTGATAATCGAAAAGTGCCTACTGGGAACTAGCTTTTTCCTCAAACGTCAGTAAATGTCCAATTTTTTGGGAGTTTCACGATGTTTCTACTGGTGACAAAATAATTTATCAAAATAATACACGCAGTTTCAAATATTTTCTCATAGGTATCTGTCAGAACTCATGCATATTCCTCAATTAATTCTCAATATGAAGCGGAAGTGGCCTTGTGAGATTTTGTACGAGTTGAATGTTTTATTTTGAATGGGTTTTCAAACTTTTTCAATTCGCATCATTTGATCAAAGGTGATCTGCAATCAATCAATCAAAACTGATAGTTCATTTTCATGATGTAACTAAGGGTATTTATCTACATCTACACTGTGTTCATGAAGTGAACTAAGTTTGTCATATCTCGCCTGGAGGATTCAACTGTTCTTCATGACATCGATACAGGTAATTCATGTAAAATATGAGTAAGAGTAGGGAATATATAAAACAGGACCTACATATGCATGCTTCATGGGATCCAGTTCGATCTCGTAAACGGATGAGCTTTCTTCTTATGGCATTATAGGGTCTAGATAGTCGGTTATGTTGGTTGGCTCGACTCCTGAAGTAACAATCGACCAAACCTTTCAAAATAGTTAGGTGTTTGCTTTGAGACAAAGTTGATTATTTATTTATTCTCAGTAGATATCAACAAGAATGAGTATCTTGAATTGACTCGGCCGTTACTTGATGGAAATTCATGATAAATGTAAGAACTTCACAAACGATAAGATTTATTCCACATATTTTATTTTTTCTTAAACACACGACATGTTTCGCTAACACAGGAGCTTCGTCAGGTGATATACTGGTACAATGAACTAAACTAACGTTGGCTTGCTTAAGTTTTATATATCTTACTTTCCCAACCTGAAGGATTAGTTACCTGTGGACAGGTACGATAAACCTCCATTTTCGGAAATTTGATGGAACAATATCTACATTATACCGTAATTCAATGTAGATATTGTGCCTAATTTTTGAAAATGGAGGTACATCGTACTTGTCCACAGGTAATGATCCTTCAGGTTGGGAAAGTAAGATATATAAAAGTTAAGCCAACGTTAGTTTAGTTCATTGTACCAGTATATCACCTGACGAAGCTACTGTGTTAGCGAAACATGTCGTGTGTTTAAAAAAAAATTGTGAAAATCTTATCGTTTGTGAAGTTTCCACATCAAGAATGAGACTTGATAAACCTAAATTCCTTTTATTAATTAATATAATTCTACACCAGATGCTACTTATCTTTCCAACATTCACAAATTAATTATGAACAGACTTTCGAATGATTTTAATAACAGTATCACAATTCTGGCTTTTAATTCATTCAGTGAATGTCAATTTCATTGTTAGCATTCATCTCGCATTTAGGTTGTGTTGAAACAATGAGAACAATAATCTTATATTCAATATTTCGAAATACGTTTCTATCGATGAACATTGAAAGTAGATAAATTCAGATACGAATGTGTCATTCCAAAAAGGACGCAAAGCGGTACAAGATTGATGGACTGATTTTGATTATCACGCAAAAGTGCCACGGCTGATTTGTTTTTTCAATCTGTTGAAATTCCTACTTTGGTCTTGTTATTACTTATATTATTCCAAAATTTCATCTTTAACCTCGTCTAGAACATTCGGATTCTATTGAGAAATTTCAACTGTGCGACTTTCAAATCGAGTTTTCAACTATTATTTCAACTTGTTGACTTCAATCTGTAATTTTCGACCATTTGCTCTGGCATTCGAAATATTCATTCAATCTGACAGTGATCAATCTCCTGCAGTGTATGGTGTTTTTTCCACTACTACCTCTTGAAAAGACCATTATATATTTATGATTTCCTCAGAATGAAAAACTATCTCTAAAAAAAGATTATACTTTCCTGTCAGACATATATCCAGAGTTGATATTGTGAAAACGATAGAAAAATTTTTGAGAGCCCAAGTGACTAATTTTAGTACAAAAATAGGTACATACATGTAGATTCCATGCTGTTCAGATGCTACTTAAGAGTCTATTCAGTAACTTATCGTTGAAATACGATATCTTATCGATAAAATACGATATCGTTACGTCAACAATACATTGGCGAACGTCATTATGAACGATAAATCCCAGAAGCTGATTCAGTATCGATGTCGTTATAAAAAACAGAATGTTGATGTACTGTGGCTAAAACGAGTGAAACGTTTGTCTGATCTCAAAAATTCCAGGTTCTTTCTATTCAACGTTACAAAAAATAAGAAAATAATATTTTCCTTCTTCAACCTATAGTGCCTTTATATTTGGCAAAGTAGCACATCTCATTTAGTAACCATCAACTTGAATGGGTTGTCACTGTTGTAGATTACTTGTAGGTATCCCTTGCTGACTTTGTTGTTGCCCAAAATTCATAGATCTATAATAATGATATTATCCCAGAATGTTATTTCAAAAATGCAATCACATGTTGGTAGGTATTCAAATATACTAGAAATGAAAGAGTTCACATGTGTACTATCTTTTCTCTAACTATCTCTACTAGTGCTTGCTAATCAGCAAAAAAATATCTTCCCATATCCAACATTCATCATCATGGTCGATTTCATCAAAAACAACACTGCTTGGTTGGTACACTCCAACATAACGGATGAAGCTGGGCGACAAGCCGAAACTTTCGCCATCGCACTCATGGCTTAAAGCAGCGTATCAAGGAACCCACACAAATCTCTGAGGTCGATATCCATTCAGCTAACACACTTGACTTATTCCTCACTAATAAATCAGCACCCTACACCACAGATGTACAAGCTCCATTCGGCAATTCTGATCACACACTCATCTCCACAACCCGCCCATTTTTCATTTCATCAACTGCTCAGGCACTCCTACGTCTTGTATGGTATTGAAATTCAGGAGACTGAGACAATCTTCGCATGTTTCTCTCCCAGTTTCCTCGGCATTGAATATGCTTCGACTCTGAGGATCCTTCACAGTGTGCTTCGGAAATATCCGAGATCATCACGCTTGGAATGGACACATACATACCTTATCCTTGGGAAAGATCATCACCTTCGAAACCCTAGTACAACAAAAACTGTTCTAAAGCTGTTGCTTTGAAACAAACAGCCTACCATCGCTGCCGCGAAACCCCTAACCTCGCGACTAGAACAGAATACCTTGAAAGCCAGGAATAACTGCAGCAAACAAAAGATGCGTCGAGAGAAACATACAATGCCAAGATGAGATCGAAACTCATAGATTGTCCCAATGGCTCCCGTTCGTTTCGGTCCCACGTTAATGGAGTTGTGAGGAATTTCACTAAGAGTTTATTCTCAGCACTTTTCAAAACCGACGGCACATTAGCAACATCGTAGGGAGAAGCAAATATTTTTGTGGAGATTTTCGCAGCAAACTCTACTTTAGATTACTAAGAAAAAGTGCCGCCAGATATTCCACCCGTTGAAAGTCGAATGCCCGCAATCGTCTTTCGTCAATGCACTATCAGACGCATTTTGCTTGGTATCGAAACGAATAAGGCTATCGGTCCTGATGGAATTCCACCTATTATTTATTCACGATCTCGTAGAAGTCGGGTATTTTTCCGTTATGCTGGACTAGAAACAAGGGAGCAGAACCGTGCCCAACAACTACAGGCCAATTGCCCTGCTATCAGTAATATCCGAAGTGATAGAGAAATTCATCAATATTGAACTCATCCAATATATGGGAACCTCAGGAATTATCAATGACAATATGGCCTTCGCCACCAAAGATCAACTGGAGATCTGTTTGCCTACGATACCCATGTATGACAAGCTTCATTAGTAAGCCATTGGGAATCTCTAGTTGTGGCGTTAGACATATCGAAAGCATTTGACCGTGTTTGGCACCAAGGACAACTACAATCATATGGCTCACCACCACAGCTATGTCATCTCTTATTGAGTTTTTTCCAGGCAGATTGCTCCAAGTGGTGATGGACGGTGTCACAACTTGCCCTATCCACAGCTTTGCAGATAAAAGTACTCTCCATACTGCGTTCTCTTCCAGAATTCACATTTCTCTCCAGGAAACTGAGAACTCACGGCGCAGGCAGGTCAATGCTGTCAATGGAGATCTTGCTGAAATCACAGCCTGGGGAGCCAACAACCTTGTCGAATTCAACGCCACCAAAACTCAAGCCTGTATATCTCTAGAAAGGCGGAACTCAGTTTGCTCGATATAACAATATCTGGTACCACCATTTCCACCAAGTTCACCATATATTTGCTCGGTTTTTCCATCAGCCATTCTCTCTCATTGGATAATAATGTCAGATCCATCGCAAAAGCTACTTCACAAAAACTCGGATTCTGTTTCGTACGAAAAGCTACTTTATACCTCAACAGCTCTTCATGACTCACAAACACAGATACGGCCTGTTCTAGAATAATGTTACCACATATGGGGATCAGCACCCAAACATATACGCTGGTGCTCTCAGATTCCATCCAGAGAAGAGTCATTCGCCTGTTGGGTGATGCAACATTCACTTACTTTTTGACATCATTGATACACCTCAGGAAGGTCGGCGACCTTTTACTTTTCCATAAATATCATTCCATCACTAGCAATACCAGTCAGACGAACTCAATAAGCGCAGTCAGCACATCCTCTCATTGTCAACCTCAACATATGTCGAACAGCACTCTATCATACCTCGTTTGTCCATAAAACTACAGAGCTCTGGAATTCATTGCCTAAGGAAGTATTTCCAAGAACTTATAATCTCCAAAAGTTCTCCGAGCAATATGAGAATATTTTTTCCTACGCTCCAAGCGATAAACAAAAATGGAAGATCCACTGAAAGGAAATCCTAGTCTCTGGAACTCAAAAGTAATCTCCCTGAGATTCACAATTATTGTGGTAATGGTATAGGTACCACCCATGGAACATTTTTGGGATGATGTAGGTAGTACTTGGTATATCCTTTGGACGTACTGAAGGGATGTCCCGGGTAAACGTCTTTTTTCGAAAGTCAAGGAATGTCTATATACCTACCATCCCTTGACCCGACAGGGGCTGTCCCAGGGACATCCTAGTGAATGAGACTTTCCTGAAACGTCCATGTTAGGGTGTGAGCAAAAGAATCAATGGTGGTTATTATGCTCTTTTTCAACTGAAACATGTCCTCACCAAATATCAGTTGCTTAATGTGTAGCAATAATGTTGTTAGTTAATACAACTAACTCTGACAATCGGCTGGGGATAGTCCTGCACGATTCGCTGTTGCATTCCAATTAACAGTGCTGCTTCCAAAGTGGCGCATGGAGTTAGTAACAAAGCCTACACAGAACACGCAAAAAGAGATGATGATGTGGTTGTGAGCATCAGAGAAGAAGAAGAACGGTGAATGTAGGTGGGTGTGGAAAACTACCAGCTGAGCGTGAGAGCGGGCCAGCTGCTTAGTGGACCTCGGTGTCTAATGGGGGTTAACGAGAATAGCTAGCAGGCCTGCCACTGCAGCATATGGTAGTGAGTACATAACTAGCCTACAAAACACAGCCGAAAAACTCTGAAAGAGAGCTGATGGTCGGTGCCTGAAAAGGATGTTAGCCAGCTCTCTTAAGCGAACCACATCAGTCATTGAAAACACCTTGGGGCTTGCAAAAAGGTCCCATTAGGGACTAGTTGCTGACGTGCAAACGTCTCCCACCAGTACCAGTACCAATAGGGTGTGAGCAAAAAAATCAATGGTGGTTATTATGCTCTTTTTCAACTGAAACATGTCCTCACCAAATATCAGTTGCATAATGTGTAGCAATAATGTTGTTAGTTAATACAACTAACTCTGACAGAATTCTGATTTCTTGACCTATATTTCGACAAAATAATTAGCTCACCTTTTACTCGATATATCATCATCACTGTCTAATCTTCTTCAAAAAAAAAAAGAATGTAATAATATATTGAAAACTGATGGCACGATAATCACAGTACACTGTTTTACCAGTATTAAACAAGCGATTTTTTTAACGCTCCCACACGTTTTGCGCTAGCTAAATATGTTAGAATCTTCAGAAGAATAATGATAATGAATATCATATCCTAGTGTGCTGCTTGAATATTATGTTCATCTAACCGTAAGAGACACTAATTACGCAGTCAATGTTTGTCATGGTTTAGTTCACATATTGATCTCAATCCTAATAAGTATATTACTAAAATATACAGAGGGATATGTGGAATAGGTCCGTTATCCTCATTAATAGCTCTACTATTCATAAATATTCTAGGTTTTCAAATGCATCTAATTGTCTAATAGTTTTTCTTGAATAATTTGAGGCTATTGATGTGTTTGTTATGATTGTGATCAAACATGTGTTCGGCTACACTCGATTTATCCAACCTACGATATTCCAAATGTGCTAGAGGTGTTCTTTGGACCTGACTTATGAAAACAAAGCAAGAATCATTGCAGAAAAAAGTTCCACCCGTTCAAGAATCAACTAGGTGTGGTCAATTAATTACATTTTGTTGGATACAACTCACCGTAGTTATTATTTTGATATTCATTCTGATATCTTCCTGCGGTAGTATGATGATTCAAATTCGCAGATGGTCCATTGTACGCTGGAATATCATGTTGGGAGTATTTATAAACTTCATATTTTGGTGCAGATTGTTGACCATAATGGTTGTTACGGTAACCATATCCTAAGGCCGATTCGATAGTTCTTTTCGAATTCTTGCCACTGGTCTTCTCCTCTTCAGGGTCTACTATTCGGATTGCTATTATGGCCTTTTGAGTCTCGTCTGATGAAGACTTAGAAGCTTCGACTGATTTTTGTTGAGTTTTTGCGGCTTGGAGACCAACTACACATAGACCAACAACCTGAAAAAAAAATTCGCACAAAATTATACTCGTCCCATGCATTTCATTCTTTCGTTCTCTTGTAAATACCAATACCAATACCAAATCAGAAATAGGTATTGTGATTGATTCTGACGTATTTGCAAGTACCTATGCTTATAATCAGTCAGATGTTGAGGTTATCGCAAAATATGATTTGGCGCATGTTTTCTACTTGATCAATATGTTCGAAATTTTCAATTCGAGAAATTGGCTGGTATGGGCCATGGACTGGTAAATTCAACATGCCCATCATTCATAACAGATCCCAGCAACAACCAACATTTTTGTTTAGTAGAATGTATCATCCGCCGAAAACAGTGCATTGGTTCATCATTCGAACAATTTTTTTGACTTCTATCTGGCTTGTATCCAGATGCATTACAATTATTAAGTGAAGAGTATGCCATGGACAATTATTATTGACGGTATTTGAAATTGAACAAAAATTAATTTGTCTTTCATGTTATCATAAATTCGTTCAATAGGGTTGTAGGTGCACACTAGTATTTACGAAATTTATATTTTTATACTGATCCTTCGCATTTCGCATCAATTTGAAAGTATTTGTACTTCATTGAATAGAAATAACCCACTGACTAGCTCTCCATTTCCTTGTACAGGGTGTTCATTGATGATATGCAAATATTCAAGGTGCCGATCAAGGTGCCGACTATTCGACCATTTCAATAACTAAACTTTATATGAACGTATTTCATAAACGTCCATAATTTCGAGATACAGGGTTTCAATGTTGAAAATATGCATATATTATTTTTTTGCCCACCCTGTATCTTTTCGTGATGTCAAAATTCAGTCCGCTATGTGACTGAATCGGTATAAAAAATTCGAAATGTTACATACTGTGGTTTTTCAGTAATGGATATCCTGAATGGAATACTCAGACATCAATATTTGATGATCATAGCATTGTACGAAATTTGAAAACTGCTCGTCGTTACTCACTTTCAAGTAGAATATAAACAGTAATATTCTCGTAACGGTACCACTGGTAGAGAAAATGTAAATGTTTGTACTTCGGAAAATGCACCTTGATGCATGAAAGACGTGTAGGTACCAAATTTCAGGAAGATGTATACAATATTGTCCCAGTTATTATCAAAACACTGGAAATGAGTCTAGCACCCCCTCATATATTAGCATGTCTGTAAGGAACACCCTGCATAGGTTGTATGTGCCCAGTAGTGGAAGAAAAACTCATAAAGCAAGTCTCATACTTATGGTCGTGCGATCCTTACCAAATTTGGGACAGTATGTATCACCATCAATATGATCAGTTTTCCAGAGACGAACATAAATTTGGACAGTGCCGTTAGTTTCAATTGAAATAGAAAGTGATAGACTTCTAATGAATTTTAGAACGTTCAATAGCTCCGATAGGTAGATAATTATTTTTTGAGGAATAAATGTGTAAAAAAATATTTTCTCATCACCTTGTATCTTGAAAACGGATGCCGTTACGACATTTTTCCACTGAGCAAACCCAACTTATTTTGCAATGTTTTACCTATACCCTAGCAAGGGGGCTAGGTTTTTTTGAAACACCCTGTATATACCTTCTGACTGGTATATAGGAAATTTCGTATGGACATTTTCGAACTCGCTATCGCAACTGCTTTCGATAGTTTATTGCGATAATTGCAACCAAACTTTCAAACACAAAATGTCAAACCATATCGTTCATATTCATAGTTACAGTGACAACAACGATGTAAAATGCTACTTTCCCAAAGAAAAAGCGTCCGGGAAGTGAGCACTTCCTGGACACCGTTGCCGAAAAACATTTCTTCTTCTGTTTCATATGATATTCAATCTGATTCCCGATACAACGTTTCGTGTATCCAGGGCGACCCTCAACTTGTAAGAGATAGCAATAGTGGACCAACGAAATGTGGGCCAACCTGTATTCCAAAAGGAATAAAGCCCCATCACAGAGGTTATTCAGGTTCACCTATAGTTAGGAATCCTCTACCCTGTTCGAATTTTTGACACAGGTACCTCAACATCCTCTCGAACCATATGCAACAAAAATCTCTGATTTTTTTATCCCACTCTATATCCGGAAACTCTCGAGATCGAGGAATCTGTGCTTTATTAGGACAAGTAACGATTTCTTTGAATTTCATACGCCCGTCGACATGCTTCATAATATTCACATAACAGTAATAGGAACACTTGTTTCAACTTTCACCTGTCCTTGTTCACTTTCTTCCTCAATGTTTGTAAACCATGAGAACTATCATCCGAGATGGAATCTTTAAATTTTCGCAGTGCATTTGAAGGTATGAAGGTTCGCAGCCATTGAATAGTTTGACCTAGAGAGTAGAGCCTTCAGCAAATCTGACGTTTCATGCTTTTCAGAGAGTGAAGACATATACTTGTCACCACTGGAATTCTGGAATTTCCATAATAGTTCACCTAACAAGTGCGGAACAGTCACTATCTTTCCGCACTAGTTCGGAAAATACTATTTCAACGATAAAATGAATGCGCAAAAGTGTAATTTTCCGCACGTAATGGTTTTTCAATAAAAAAAAAATTGTACTTCGTCATGTACATTATCCAGATGTATTGTAACTGTAAATTCCAAAAATGATGGTTTTTGTCATAAGAAATATTCCAAAGAACTTATAATCTTCAAACGTGCAAAAAAAAACTTCAATAGGTACCCCCTTACCTCCTTTCTCTATTTTCCTAGAAACGCCTAATGTTCTCAGAACATTATAAGGAATGCATTTCGTGCTCTCCTAGAGATGCTTCTTTTAAATTCCATGATATGAGGAGACATTATTTTGCAAATTAAAGGAGAATATGAATAATGAGAGGCGTGCTTTAATCTAACTGAAGATTTGCTAGTTGAAATACTACTTCTTGTGTGTATATGTCAATGAAGAGATTTCATAATCCGTCAGTTAAAAAAACAAACGTTTATTGCATATTATCACCTTCTGTTTTCGTATATTCAAATCATTGACATGACTATGCTATAACACTCACGAGATCGAACTTGAGAATAAGAATATTGCGCATTCAGGACATATCCTATATCTTACTCACTCTTACTTATGCTTCCGAATACCGCATAACATGACTCGATGTCATGAACGACATTTTGACGGTTTGGAGGTTCCCGCGAGTTGAACTGAAGCGTTTTCAGGCGATTAATTCACCTGAGATTAACCAAATGTATTATTATGTATAAATACACAGATAATCTACATATAACTATTCTCTTCTTTCTTATAGTATGGGTTATCTCAAGGCAGTCTGAAACAATCATGTTACTTATGCTTCGGGGTTCATTACACAATATTTTGCGACTATTATCCACAAGGTACTTGTCAGAACAAGAATCAAGATCCCTGCTCAGATTAGTGGAACAATATTGTGTTTTTGTTTCTAAAAGTTCTTGCAATACACTGTGAGGATATGTGTTATTGTGATTCATGATTGAGTAGATATAACATACGTAATATATTATTATTGATAGACTAGCTGTCTGTCCCGGCTTCGCAGGGATGGTATACTCATTGAATAAAAATATGACATTTGTTGCAGTCGTTCTGAACTATATGCGCGTATCTAAAGTACAAGCATATTTTTTCGTGATTTTTTTATTTTTTGTGTTCACCTATAACTACTATTATATACCTACACATATTTTCATTCTCTCAGTATGTTTCGTCTTATTTGTTGTATTTGTTATTTTATCAGGCATAACGGGCCTTAAACCAGAAATGGTAGATTGTTTTATTAGGCCCAAAAGTGACACTTTGTTTGAAAAGCGAATTTTGAATTTGCAAGGCGTCTACAGCAAAATTTAGTCAAGTCCGTTTTCAAAAAGTGTCTATTAATAATAATAATAATAATAATAATAATAATAATATTTATTTGCAGAATGAGCAGAAAATAACAACGATAAGTAGAGAACATTTCAAAATATATAAATCATACTGCAAAACAGGAATGACAGGCAGTAAAACTGATACGAGTGCCATTCCTGGTGACTAGCATAAAAAAAAATACATGATGTATGTCGGCATGTGAATAAACGAAATGAAAATGAAACAATTACTCATTTTAATTCAATAATTTGCTTGAAATAGCATATTTCTGTAACTATTTCTGAATTTGGTAGTTGACATTGTTTTGAAATCTGAAGGAACCTGGTTGTAAAGCTGGTAAACTGTGTAAGTGAAGGACCTTTCAAATATGGAAGTTCGATGAAATGGTGGTGATATGGAACCCTTGAATCGAGTGTTTATATTATGAACATCACTTCTGAAGGTTATTTTGTCATAAAGATATGGAGGTGTTTTGTGTAATAATATTTTGTGACATAAAGTTACTGTATGCAGTTCTCTTCTTGCAGACATATTGAGCCATTTTGTTTCCTTCAACTTGTATGTTATGTTTTGATATTTCCTTATCCCATGAATGTACCGAAGACACGATTTCTGAACCCGTTGAATGCGATTAATCTCGTTATTGGTTAGGCAAGGTCCATACACAACATCACAATAATTGAAATGCGAAAGTACCAAAGAATCAGTGAGGAGAGTTTTGGTGAATTTATCTAAGACATGTCGATGGGGAAATAACATTTTTAGATTAGCAAAAGATCGTTTCACGCATTTACTTATGTGAGATTTAAATCGCAAATCTGTATCCAACTCTAAGCCCAAATTTCTTGCAACTTTGACATATGATATATCATTACCACCAATTTTAATTTTAATGCCCAATTCAATTTGAGTTTTATTTTTACCAAAAATCAGAACCTGAGTCTTAGAGGGATTTATCGAGAGTTGATGTTTTTCAGAACATGATACAAGCTTGGATAATTCCGAATTGATCACCTGATTTGTTAAATCAATTTCAGTATGGGATATGGTGAACTTGATCTGAGTATCATCAGCATACATGTATGATTTACATCCAACAAGGCAACTAGTAATATTACAAGTATATAATGAAAATAGTATAGGTCCTAATATAGAGCCTTGAGGCACACCACAGTAAATGTTTTTTATAT